GTCCCCCCCCAATTTGGAGTTCAGGTTTACCTATTGTGTTAATCGTAATCCCTGCATGAATCATGATAAAGCTAGTCGGGCTCTTTTTGACATCAAGACAATTATTGTTATTGCCACAACGCCAGACAGGACACTGTTAAAAAAAAAAATTAAGTAAAAATCATTTGTGATAGATGGCTGATGAATGGATGATTGATGGATGGATGGATTATGGATTGAACCTCCTCCTGGGAAATTAGATCAGCATCTTGTTTTTCTCTGTTCAGATTATAAACCACTTTATAAGAGACAACCTGCATTAAAAAGAACAGTAAGGAGATGGACACAGGAAGCTGAAGAAGCCCTGCAAGGTTGTTCTGAGGCTACAGACTGGGATGCTCTGTGTCAGCCACATGGAGAGGACATCAAAGCAATGACTGAGTGAGACTGACTACATCAGCGCCTGTGTAGAAAACACCATCCCTACCAGAACAGCTTCCCAGATAATAAAGCATAGATCACTGGTGATCTGAAGCAGTAAAACAGTATTAAATGATTTATTTAATCGATGGAGAAAAAAGTATATAGCACCTGTTTAAAGTTGCACAAACCTCTGCAGATCAGGCCTCTAGTGTCAATCATTAGATTAATTAAAGATGAATTTAGTAAAATCTGCCCAAGAGGCTGACATTGAAGTGTATTTTAGCTGCAATCCAAATGCTTTGCTTGGTTTTAGAAGCTCTGCTATCTCAGCCGGCCTTTCATTCAAGAGGCTTTCTAAATTGCCGGCTCAGTAAAAATCCAGGGAGCAACAGGAAAGATTAAAATAGGGATTGTTGTGATGTCATGCTATGACGTAACTGCTGCCTTTTGGAGATTCAGAACAGGAAGCAGAATCTGCCAGGTGACAGTTTGGTTTAAATGTTCTCAATTGTTTCGTTTCCAAACCCGGAGGGGCAGCTTTTTTCCCATGCTAAAGGACAGCTGCTCTGTGTGTAAATTGGTGGACTCTCATAAATAAGCACATTCTTCTAAAGGGAAACATTACAAGTGGGAAATTGAGTGTTTGCTTCAGTGTCTGTCTGAAAGGCCTCTAATACAAAGGCGAGTGTGTATGCTAGTGTTTGATATGGCCTTGGTTGCAGAAAACGTATTGTTTCTGATTGTGTGAATGTTAAATTGATCATTATCATAAATAGTACAATAGCTTACTAATAACTGCAATGAAGGTCAGGAAATGAGATAACATTCATACAGACTATTTATGAATTTGTCAAACTGCAGATGCTTAAGGTTTTATTTCAGTTCCAAAATAAATTCACTACTTTTTTTTAGTACAACATGATTTCTGACCACCAGCAGAATCTAGTTGTAAAACCAGAGAAAAACAACATGTTTGATTAATATTAATAATCATTCTTGGTTTGCACAGAAATCTCAATTAATGTTCTCCAAGAGCATAAAAAATATGATTAAAAACTTGAAATGAAATGGATGCATGAATCTTCATGCTGTACTGAAACATTTTGATCAGTTCTATTAAATTATTTTGCTCACTCAGTTCATCCAACTAAATTTCTGGTTCATATGCAGTTAGAATGAGTAAAAAAAAGCGTTGCTTCTCTGTAAATAATGAGCTATAGCTGTATTTCCTTTTCATTTACATTAAAAATAAAAACATTCAGTGTTGTACTCAGAAAAGTTTAACTTCCATTGATGTTATTTTAAAATAGATCGAAAGGATCAGGAAGATGTTTCTGGTTCTTGGTAATGCAGACGGGGGGCGAAGCAAATGGCCGCCAGTGTCCTGACTCCTGGCTACCGTCAACCAGGTCAGGTTTGGTCGCTCCATCCCCCGCTGGCTCCCTGCCCCCGTCCGCCGGGGTTCCCGGACAAGGCCCGGAGCTGACGGCTCAGTTCTGCTGCACTGTAGTCGACCAAAATCCCGAATGATTTTGAAATTCCCCCCAACATTTTTTTTAGGTACGGAAAGTAGGACATGTCGGGAAAAAGAGGCCGTCTGGTCACCCTACCATATCAACAATTAGATGTTTCAGTGAGTGAGTGCTTGTTGCTATGATGCGTCTTTGCACAGCAGCTTTGCTCATGTTAAACCAACCAATCAGCACACATCAGACCATAAAAGGAAGAAAACCTGTCGTTTCATTGTAGGGCTTTTAACCAGGCTGCATTAGGGCTCATAGAACAGAAAATATGCCATTTTTAGCCCAACCAATGTTACACACCCTATTCAGAGACCTTAAGGACCAGATACCCTATAGAATCATTCTATCACACCTTTTTAAGAACCTGTATTATATAAATCTAGTATCTATTCCATATCAAACTATCTTGTAATTTCTGAGTGAATAACACAGTGCCGCTCTCAGTAGGATACAGTGTTTCATTCACATGATAATGGGCTCAGTTTCAGCTTGATCACCTTCTGATTCCTCCACCAGGCAGGTTAGTGGATCAGTGGAAATCACTCCTTAGCTCTGTTTGACCCATACAGTAGGTTCAGGACTCTCAGTTCAGGCATGATCAAACAAATCAGGTGAAATCCTCGTTATTTTCTGTACAGTAACACTTATTGAATTGCTTTTCTTGGTGCGCACTAGGTTAGCCGAGGGAAGCTTGATTTCCTGTCTGTTTAACTTTGGCCATTAGTTTAGCAGATACTGAGTGAGTTTACAGACGCAGAGGTCCGTACTCCAACGCCACACGCTAACTGAGATTGAACAGAGTATAGAATGAGGAAATAAAATGATTCGAATCCAGGTGGCTCAGATAACAGCCTGTTTGACTCAGTCATTGAACGCACCACAACAATAGAAGCTCAGATGGAACACAGGTATAGTTGATGATTCCTTTACAAGTGGAGGAAACATGGAATAGGAGCCTTCTTACCAACATTACTCTGGGGTACGTAGGCTGGATGTGTTTGTGTGTGGAGTTTCTCTGATGACCTGGAAATCTTCCATAATGATTTCTGTATTTTATGTTAGATATTTTCATCCCATCTATTAAATTTAGTGCACTTGTTGATCTTTTCTCTTCTTCATAAGAGAACAGCAAGCATGGCAGGCAATATGGCCTTTTTTGACCTGCTGTATATCAGTCAGTCCTCTAGGAGCTAGAATAGGTTAGATACTTTAAAAATTCTCTGCCCTGTGAATCTGCTGGCAGTTCATTTGCCATCTATTAAGAAAGGCTTCCTTTTTGCCTTTTCAAACATTGACTCTATCAGAATCAGTCATTATTGTTGGCCATAATGCAGGATCATTGAAATTAACGGCATGATCCATCTCTGAGCAACTTTGCTCAGACTCTGGCAGTAAGACCCTCCACCTGCACTATCTGTTATCGGTAGAGATTTAAAAGGAAATGTGTTTCCCCCTTATACTAGCTAGCAGATTCTATACTTTAAAATCACATTGATAAACGCATTGCTTCTTAACTGGCTCTGAATGGGCATCATTCTTCTGATATTCCATTCCTGGACCCGTTCCTGACTCATCCTCTTTTTATTTTTAATATTTCCTCCTAAAATCACTCTTGCTTTTGGTGTCATCTTCCCATTTTCCCACTTTTCTAATCTGTATGTCGGACTACTGAGATCCTGACATTCTTAGTTTGCAGCAATTGACTTAAGTTACTCTAATATTAAATATTTTTATCACAAATATTTTCTGAAATATTACTTCTGCCTGTATTTTTAATTGTCAGACTGTCTAGTTTAGACCCCCCCTCTGTTCCCGGCCTGGGACAATTGACCCGTGTGTCCCGCCCTGTTGGCGGGCATGCAGCAGTCTGTCAAACATTTAGCAAAGAAACCCACAACTTGATGAGTCCCAAGACATGGGGGGGAATATTCTGTGGTCTGACAGGACAATAGTGGAGTGTTTGGAAAGGTCTGCTTCTGCTTTTACTTCATTAAACAGCATTACAGTGAAGGGGACACTATTCCCACTAATGGTGGCAGTGTGTGGAGCTGGAAGCAATCATTCTGCTCTGGATCTGAGGACACCAGCAGAGAATGTCAAGCCATCAGTTTGGGATTCTTGGCGTTGGATTATCTGCAGGACCATGATGCACAGTGAAGCTCCGCCTTTGAAAGGCTCAGAAAGTGGGGCGGCCTAGTCAAAAATGTGATTTCAACCGGATGAAAATACTGGGGCATTATGCTGGTGAAGATTCTCAGTCATCAGGAAGGTTGTTTTCTCTTTGAACAGAGGAGGTGGATGCAGATTTCAACTTTCAAAACTCTACAATGCAGCAATAGAGCTGATTCCTTCCTGCTATCATTACATCCGTAACCCTTTTACAGGGGAACAGAAGACCTCGCCTATTCAGCTACTGTATAAAACCTCGAACTCAACGGTATTTCTCACATTTTGGATTGAAAAAGCTTCCTGGATGGGAAGAGAAACGTTTTCAGTCTTGAAAACAAAGTCCAGTGGATTGCTTTTTAACATTTTTGGAATACTGGAGCATTATCTGAAACTATTGTAAAATTGTTTTTTTTTCTAAAAAGAACTATTGTTTAAAAACTGATTAACTTTGTCTGACATCCTAAAACATGGTTATATTAAAACATTTCATTTAGAATAAATCAGGCTGTGAATATAAGGATAGAAAACATGCAGATGTGAGGGCATGAATAGTTCTCCACAGAATTGTAAAAACTCGCTTTGTGAAAAATGTTGCTGTCATAATCAGTTATTGCCGGGGTGGGAAATTCCAGTTCCTGGGGGCTGATATCCTGAAACTTTTAGATCCATCCTTGGTCCAACACACCTGAATCAAATGGCTGAATTACCTCCTCTGTACGCAGTCGCTTCCTCCACAGTCCTCTGTATCATCTAATTATTTGATCCAGGTGTGTTGAACCAAAGGCTTATCTAAAAGTTGCAGGATCCCGGCCCTCAGCAACCGGAATTGCCCACCCCTGATTTATTGGAATTGTTTGACTGTATGCTGGAGTCTCTCTAAGTGAAGGTGTTTCTTGTTAATCACAGGAGCCTTTACCAAAGCCAGACATGGAGCAGAAGCTGCGTTCAGCCTCCACTGTAGATGAATTGATGAGTCTGATCTATCCCTCTTACTGGGCTGCCCTGAAGTGCAGATCCAAACTTTCTGCTGCTGCCTCCCCAGCTTCCAAATTCACTCAGCGCTCACAGACTCAGCGGCTGCGGCCACCAGCAGACGCAGAGGAGCCGATATACGCAGCTGCCTACCTCAACTTGGACGTCCTTAAAAGTAGGTTTCCTTTATTTCCCTTACTTATATTTTTGAAGCATAAATCCTTTATTTCCAGGTGAATTTTACCATAATGAACATCTATGTCATGCAGTGCTATGCTTATATGACCTGTAATGGTGCGTTACCTCTGGGCGCGTTCTGGGTGTCAGCGTCTGATTTACATGCAAAGCACTGCGTCAGAGCGTCTGAGCATCCAAGTGTCCAACGCCTTAAAAACATGTTAAAACAATTTTTCCAACTTATAAAGTAAATAAAGCCAAGCTGCTCTCTAGCTTAAAGCTACAGAACGGAGCAGAACAGAGCTTCAATGCAACTTGAATACGGTTTGATCCAGCGTCCAAATTTCTGCATTTAAGCACTTTTGATGCACATAATGGCTTTGGAGTGAACGCAGCATAAGTTCTGGTCTGACAACATGAACATGGGTGTTAATGGCTCCTAAAGGAAGCCGTCCTGATGTGAGAGCTCTAGGCCTAGATTAGTGTGTCTTCTCCTTTAAAGTAAACTGGGGTCTATTTAGTAAATAAAGCAAGAGTTTCTGAAGGACAACATATCAGTTCTTCTTGTTCCTTGTCAAGCAGAAATAGTTCAGATAAAGATAAGATCAAACAATCTACATGCAGGACTTTCTCCTTTAAAAACAATGGAAACCTGCAACATCGTACGCTGATTTACAGCTTCCTTCCTACAGACATCAGGCTGCTTTTCTCCCGCATATTTTCTGTTCTGTTTCAAGTTTGGCAAAAAAAGTGAAGATTTCACAAAACAAAATGTTTCTGGATTTTTAACATTGAGAGTTTTGGGTCCGCCATTATTTTGACATTCTTTGCAAAACTTTACAGGAACTGGAGGCTTTGTTCCAGGAAGATTAGGCAGATTTATGGGTAAAGAAAATAACTCCTAGAATTGCCACATAACACTGTTAGATGTCAGTGACAGTAAAAAGGCATCGTTACCCTTTGATCAGGGTCATTCAGGTCAGTGTTTTCTATTATTCTTACAATCTAAATCCAAATGGCTCCAGTCATGAGTTCCTGTAACACGCTCCAATTGTTCATAACAGAAAGATTGCAAAATAAATCAGATTGTTTCAGAATATTTGAACTTCTGGACAAATCTGTGCAGCCAGAGGTAGGAACCTTTAGTTGACCTAACAAGTTGATAACCAGTTATCTGGTAGAACTGGAGTGCAGCAGTTTAGTTGATTAATCCCTAATGTTCTGTCAACAGTCATTAGTCTCTGGTGATAAATCTCACAGTGATGACTGGAATCTGAAAAGGGGACACATAAAGACATGTTGCAAACAGCCGCCTTTTTTGTGTGCAGGTATAGAGTTGGAGTGGAGGAAAACTCAATGCATGCCCAGAGAAGTGTGTGTTGATGTGGGCAGGGAGTTCGGGGCTCCCACCAACGTCTTCTATAAGCCACCGTGTGTGTCTGTATATAGGTGTGGAGGATGCTGCCCCTCCGAGGACAAGCAATGCCGAAATATCTCCACCGGTTACCTCAGCAAAACCGTAAGTAAACCACATTCACACTAAAGATTTACACTGATGCTGTTTTCTGTGGTAAATTCAAATGAAAGAGGAACTGCAAGATGACATTTACATCAATGCATTAACATGCATTGAATCTGATCTAAGAGCTTTATGGACTCTGGGTTCCCCTGCTTCCAGCAGATCTGTTCCATGTTGCCCTCCTGTTTCCGAAGCATCACTTTGAAAGCTGGACACCAACATTTGAAAATCTTGGCTTCTCTCTAGCTGAGTTGGTTGGTTGATCAAAACAAACATTGGATTCACTGAGGCTACGTTCACACTGCAGGCATTGATGCTCAAATCCCATTCTTCTGTGTGGTCGTTCACACACCCAAATATATGCGACTTGTATCTGATACAACGCAAATGTCTCGCATGCGCAGTAGAGGACGCAATGACGTCACGAGCAGAATGCGTGCTCTGTGTTTACGGAAGTAAACATGGACGGTAGCTCTGGAGCGCATCTAGCCATCTTTCATTTCTTTCCCAACCTCAGCCAGTGCATCAACAATCTTTCCAAGATGGTTGAAAATAAAGACTGCTCTCTGCATTATCGTCCACCATGGCTGTTGGTTTTCTTGCCTCTTCTGCGTAGCAAGACCTTTGAGTATTAATGGCGTTCAGGTTGGATGAATGCTACCTGGCCGTTCAGCCACAGGTTTCATTTGAAAAGATCAGATTCGTATCGGATTCAGGACCGCAGAGCCAAGTGGCCTGGGTTGCATTGGAAAGAATCAGATCTGTGTTGTTTAGACAGTCATGAAAAGATCAGATCCAGGTCGCATATCAGCAAAAAAATCAGATTTGGGTGACTTCAGGCTGCAGTTTGAACGTAGCCCTAGATTTTGAATTTGACACTTTGGAAACAAACTGATACAATAGTTCAAGCTACCAGCGGAGGAATTGAAATGATTGGTTTCTGATACCAAGCTCAATCATCTGAAATTAGTTTCATGAACATGAGTTAAACTTCCAGGGTTGGTGTCACATATTGAAAGTACAGCATTAGTTAATTCCTCCATAGAGACTAAGTCAAATTCAAGCCACTAATTTTACCCAGAATTCAAACCCATGGGTGAGCTCCACCTTAAATCATATCCAGTGACAACAAAGGTGGACTTCAGAGTAGTGGTGTTAGTTGCAGATGTTTTTTCCTTCAACTGGGGGGTTGCTGGTTCAAATCCCAGCTCAGTCTATCTCAGGCAATGTGCCCCCTGCTGGCTGCTGATGGTGATCAGAAGACCTGCTGGCAGTCTGCCTTCTGTCAGCGTTGCCCAGGCAGCTGTGGTTGTGATGCAGCTCCCTACCACGAGTGAATGAATGATCAATACCAGTATAGGGAGTGTTAGGGAGCAGGCTTAGACTGGTAATCTATGATAGCGGGCATATGCACGGTGGGCCGGTCCTAATTTCAACATGCGAGGTCCAGCCCTCCTTAAATCATACCGGCCACAACACCTTCTCTCCGGCCGAAGCTCCTACGTATGACATTAAATAACTCAAGGAGCTCTAGAAGTAATCCAATATTAACTACCTAAATGATGCATGCAGTATATATAGCACATCCCTGTGACGGTTGGCATATGGTGTCATTTTCTATTTCTTCAAACTGTAAAATCCTTGCAACAAACTAAATTATAATGAAACAAAAATTCTTTCTTTAAACCAAACTATGATGTTCCTCTTTTATTTGGAGAATTTATGTTTGAATATTTTGCAAAAATATGTTGCAGTTCGGGTTGCTCAGTGGAGCGGTGGGTGGCACTGCTGCCTTGCAGCAACAAGGTTGTGAGTTTGATTCCCGGTCCGGGGAATTCTCTTAGTGTGTGTGAATGGTTGTTTGTCCTGTTTGTCTCTGTGTTGCCCTGTGTGGACCCTGCCTCTCACCAGTAGACAGCTGGATATAGGCACCAGCACCCCTCACGATCCCACTTGGGATTAAGCTTATCAGAAGATGGATGGATGATGGGATTATGCATCTAAAGGCTAACGTTTCCCGTCTTACTATTATTATTTGATTGGTTACCAAAGCCAGTCTTGGTGATGGTTGTCATGTTGTCGTTAGCAACAATAATTTATCTCAGTACAGACTACCATCTCAGAAGAATGTTTCCTGAGCCTTGTTGAGTCTTTGCTGCGGAGCGTTATGGCAGAAAGCCTAGGCTGATAGCTCACAGTAACTTAGCATGCTGCCAAACGGGGTTTTCACATTTTAAAGTCTTTACAAAACAAATGATTGGAAGGTTTTTTTGTGTTTTTTTTTTTTTCATTTTTGTTGTGAAAGAATAATTGTTTTTACAACTGATTTCTTAAAACTGATGATTTCTTTTCTTTAACATAAACATTCAGGGATGCTGTTTACATTATACGTCCTTGGACACAGCTGAGAAAGAGAGATCCTGTCTTTTTTTCCAGCATTTGTTGTCATTCCACTGTCACAAGTACAGAGCGACGAAATGTACTCTGCATTTAACCCATCCCTTTGGGGAGCATGGGCTGCCATTGTGCAGCTCCTGGGGGAGCAGAGTGGGGTTAAGGGTCTTTCTGGGGCACATAAGAAACCGTTTGATGTGGATATCTCAGATAAAGTCCTTATGTGTCCTTTGGTGGACAGTAAACGCTGCTGCCTGCTGTCGTCCTGAACATTAATTTCGAAGAACTTGGAATTGATAAAGATCACAACACATGTTTTCCATAAAGACTTCCTGAAGAGGAATATCAGCCCAAGTGACATCTTCCTGTATTTGGATTGGAGCAGGAAAAGAGAGCAGCCTCACATATTATCAATGTTACAGAGAACATCTGGAAATATTGATTCAAACGATGAGAGGAGGCAAGAGCGATAAAACTACAAAAATACAACATGGCAAATCTCCATCCTCATCCGTACTGAAGAGAACGAATCGGTTTAACAACATGTAACAATTATTATTCTATGTCTGAATTGTCTGTGAGAAAAGGAGAAAATCCAGAAGGCAAGAGCTGCTCCAGATGTGTAAATGCTGAGTCCTTTCAGTCCGTCTTCTTGCCCAAGTCAAGAGATTTTAGAAAAACTCAAAATTTTGATAGTAATAAAAAATGTGAAAACATGATAAAATCAAAATCCATTCATTTTATTCACAATGTCGGTTCACTTCTCAGTTTTATAAAACAAAAACAGAACTAATAATAATAATGACACAAATGCAAGCCTGGTTAAAAGCCCTAGAAAGAAACGACAGGTTTTCTTCCTTTTATGGTATGATCATGAATATTTAGATGAGCTGTGCTCTGATTGGTTGGTTTACAACGAGCGAAGCTGCTGAGCAAAGACGCATCATAGCAACAAGCACTCACTCACTGAAACATCAAATTGTTGATATGGTAGGGTGACCAGATGGCCTCTTGTCCTACTTTTCATACCTAAAAAAATTTCCAGGGGGAAATTCAAAGTCAAGTTTCAAGTTGGCGTTTCTTGTTCTTACATTGACATTAATATTTGCCATGAAAATATCCATATTTTTTTAATGCTACAGAGGTAAAAAGGTCTTGTTCTGGATTCCAATGACACTGTTGGCTTGAAATTTTGATTTTCAAAGTATTTCTTGGAGTGCCCTATAAAGGGTTAAACTTGTAAGACTGAACAGAACAGAACATGAACAATGTTTGCTTTCCAGTGTTCATTGATGGAAAATGATCATTAAACGCAGGGTATGTCACTCTGACGCGCTGTGAGACTAAAGTGGACGCTAACTGGGATATAGATCTCTGCTTCTGGTAATGCCACAATCTACTGGGAGAGACTTTTTGGTGGTTCCAGCTTCTTTTGGTTTCTCTTTGTGGAACGTTAAATCTCAACTCTATTAAATCATTAAAAGCTTAACCCATTACCAGAGCTTAAATCCTCCTTCTCACATATAAAGCCTTAAATGGCCAAGCTCCATCTGATATCAGAGATCTGATTGTTCCTTATGTTCCTAACAGAGCACTTCACTCTCAATCTGCAGGTTTACTAGTGGTTCCTAGAATTTCTAAAAGTAGAATGGGAGGCAGATCTTTTAGTTATCAGGCTCCTCTCCTGTGGAACCAACTACCAGTTTTAGTCCGTGAAGCAGACACCCTGTCTACTTTTAAGACTAGGCTTAAAACTTTCCTTTTTGATAAAGCTTCTAGTTAGAGTGGCTCAGGTTATCCTGAGCTATCTCTGTAGTTATGCTGCTATAGGCTTAGACTGCTGGAGGACATAGGGACCCCTTTTCATTGTTCTACTTCATTCCACTTCTGTTCTCAGAGTCTGAAGAATCTCTAACGTTATGTTCTCTCGTCTGTTCCTGTTTGACTGTGACACCACCCTGGAGAGAAATAATAGCTGTGCTGCTGCCATCAACACATTTGTTTATAGATGTTGTTTTCCAGTGTAGTCCTGTTTCTCTGACTGTGACTAACTGGATGTGCTCTCTTCATCCTCTTACATGGGAGCTGGCTCAGTGCTCGTCGGCCTGGCTGTGTGTTTCCTGGACGGGGCCGCCTGTGGAGCTGGTTGACAGTTGCCTTTTGTATCTATGCATCTTTTTCTATGTCTGCTTCAGTCTCCTTGAACCCCAGTCGGCCTCAGCAGATGGCCGCTCACACTGAGCCTGGTTCTGCTGGAGGTTTCTTCCTGTTCAAAGGGTTTTCCTCTCCACTGTCACTAATATTGTTTAGAAAATCATGATTCATGCAGCTATTATTTTTATCTTAGTCAAAAAAATTGATAAAGACCACATACTCGTTAACATCCTGACCAGGCTGCAGTGTTTCTGATTAAAAAGCATAAATTGGTGGAGTTTTAAGTTTTTTAAGGAGCCAGAAAAATAAAGCTCTCAAATTTTACATCGATCCTTTAATAAATGTTCTAAAGTCTCTGACTGGTTTTCCTTAGATAGAAAACTTTGAATCAATCTGACTGGATGATCTGGTGAACTGGAAAGTGCCTTGAGATGACGTGTTGTGAATTGGTG